TTCATAGTTTGCATTGATAAGTCAGCTGTAATTCTGATGGTCTTTCCTTTGTATGTGACTTATTGTTTTTCTTTTTCTGCCTTCAGTATTCTCTCTTTGTTCTGTACATTTAGTGTTTTTACTATGATATGTCGTGGGGAGTTTCTTTTCTGATCCTGTCTATTTGGTGGTCTATGTACTTCCTGTATTTGTATGGAGATGTCTTTCCTTAATTTTGGGAAATTCTCTTCAACAATCCTGTTTAAGATTTGGTCAATACCATAACCTGAAATTCTTCTCCTTCCTCTACTGCTATGATCCGTAGAGTTGGTCTTTTCATGGTGTCCCACATCTCTTGCATATTCCATTCCTGTGTTTTTCTTAAATTTTCCATAATCTTTGCTTGAGCAGTCCAATTGTTCACCTTTATCCTCCAGGGTTGATATTCTGTTTTCCATCTCATTCATTCTAGTGGTGAGGCTTTCCCCTGTTGTTTCAAGTTGGTTTACTGAGTTTTTCACTTTCTTCTTTATTTCTGCCAGAGTTTTCTTCAATATTTCTATCTCTTTTGTGAATTCATTCAGAACTTTATCCCTATCTTCTTTTAGTTCTTTGATTTGTTTTTTTTTGTTTGTTTGTTTGTTTGTTCTTTAAATTCGTTGAATTCCTTCATCATATTTATGATTGTTCTTTTAAATTCAGTGTCTTGGGTTACCTCTAGGGGGTTCTTCTTGTAGAACTCTTCTATAGGACTGGTAGAGTTTGGTGGGGACAGTGTTTTGGCTTTCCGTTTTATTAATCTTTCATTGTGGTTTTGGCATGTGAATTTCTTTTGTTGTTTATGATCGTGATATGAGAATTAAGTTGAAGTATGCTTCTGTTTGTATTATCCGGGTGCCTAGATCCTTTCTTTATTGGTTATGTAAAGCTGGTTGGTACAGGGTTCATGTTCCCTCAGGTTTAATTTGGAGGGAACTGATGCCTTCAGATCACCTAATCAGGTGTACCCACAGAAGCCCAATTCAGGTTCCAGTCAGGTACACTCAGGCTTCTTTCACCGCATGAGGGAGGCCAGAACTCAGTACTCTCTGGTGGTCTGCTGAGATCAGAGCCACTACACTGATGGAGGTTGAAACCCACCCTCTCAGGCTGTCTGCTAGGATCTCAGCCTTAGCCTACCAAAGCCAGATGTGCCCTGGGACCTGGGGAGGAGCCTCACAAAATCCCAGGTAGAGGGATGGGTATGGTGCAATTAGGGAAGCTCGCCACTACGTGGAGGCAGGATGGGGGCTCTCAGGCAGTCCCCTGTGTTCTCAGGCCCTCTTCCAGAGGGAGGTCAGAACTCGGCATTCTCTGACAGTCTGCGGAGATCAGAGCCACGACACCAATGGAGGATGAAACCCACCCTCTCAGGCTGTCTGCTAGGATCTCAGCCGTAGCCTACCCGTTGAACACATTTTCAAGTATTTCTTAGTCATTTGTGTTTCATCTTTTGAGACTGTTTAGTTTCTTGCTCCAATTTTTAATTAGGTTTTTTTTTAAATGTTTAGATTTTTGAGTTTGTTGTATATTCTAGATATTAACCTTTGGTTAGAGGTATGCCTGGTAAAGATTTTTTCCCATTCTTTAGGTTGCCTTTTCACCCCAATGATGGCGTCCCTCCCTATACAGAAGCTTTTTAGTTTCATGAGGTCCCATCTGTCAATTGTTGGACTTAACCCCTGTGCTATAGGAGTCCTGTTCAGACAGTCCTTTCCTGTGCCTATAAGTTCCAGTGTATTATCTAAATGTTGCATGTTCTCTCTCATAAGTGGAATGTAGCTTTAGATATATATGTTTTTACTGGAAAAATCCAGAGGCCAGGAAATTAGTAAGGGGCCATGGGAGGGGACTTCATGGGAGGGAAGATAGAATACAATGATATAAAGGGAGAAAGGGGAATAACAGAGTAGAAAGAGTGGGGTGGGGAATGGGAAGGCAGGGCACAAGAGGGATTAAAGGGAGGGATGACACTAAAAGCCTTTAGGAAAAGTCATATGGAAACCTACTAGTATAGAGCTACTTAAAGTATATACATTATGAAAAGAGAATAAATGGAGCTTTCTTATAATGGGGACAGTGCCCCTATCAGATACCACAGGCTAGCAAATAAAAAGCCCAATGCTAGGAATGGACTCCCTCTTTTAAAATTGTTGACTAGAGGTCCCACAGACTCTCAAACAATACTGGCCACTGCCATTGCTCTTGGTTACTACAAGATCCTGACCCTATTGCTAAAGACACTATAAATGTGAGCCACAGAACAAACAAGGAGAAATGAAGCTGTTACCCGACCTTGAAGTGTCATCTCTACTGACTTGCTTTTATAGTGCTGGAAGGTGCTATGCATGCTACTGGAAAAGTAATCACCAACCCTACCCATCTGTGAGTCCTGTGAGCTACAATAATAACTGGCCTGGCAAGATATGCCCACTGTATACCAGTAGCACAAAAATTATGTGAGTAGCCAACCACTTTCTGATTGAATTAAGGCTTGCCTCACATGATAAAGCCAGTATTTGACACTGATATCAGGCCTAAGAATCTGTGGCTAGACAGGTCATATGGGAGAACCTACTACTATTATTCTGCTAAATGGCTGTTATATCCATATATTAATGCATCTCTCAACTCTCACCAGAGCAGCTTCCTCATGCAGCAGATGGTGATTAACACAGAAACCCACAACTGGTCAATGTGTGAAGAATAAAGACTGTGGATTTCTCAGTCCTAAATGGGCTACCTATATCATACCCTCTCCTCCCAAGGCTCAGGGATCATTGCGGAAGAGAGGGCAGAAAGATTGTAAGAGCTAGAGGTGGTAGATGACTACAGGAAAACAGAAAGCTGGGCAGTTACTCGTATGAACTCAAAGTAATTATGACAGCATGCAAAATACCTACTTGAACTCAAGGTAGACAGAAATCCCAGCATGGAGTTGGGGAATTGGGTAAGAAGCCCCAGTTCTAGCTGAGGAATTCTTGGCAACTGACAGCTGATGGGAGAGGGAGAGTCAGTTTTCTTTAAGGTTGTGTTCATCCACAGAAAATAAAAATAAATTAAAAAGAAAAATCCAAACTCCTTCTCTAACTTCTACAAGAGTGTGCATGCACCCACAAATACACATGTGCACACCATACATGCACATACACCATATTCAAAAACATACATATTGGGGTAAAGTTATTAGAGTACATGAAAATACACACACAAAAAGTCTAAGGAGCAGCAGACCTTTCTGATGAGTGAGGAGTTAATTACTGATGAAAGTAGAACCATTATATTGAATCCCACTATAATTCAAACTGGAGATTTTCAAATATTGAAAGGTTTCAAAGATGTCAGTCTTAAAATATATATTTTTTTAAATTACATGATGCTGTGCAAAGGGAAAGGCATAATTTTATTACAATTTGTAACCATAATTTGTGGCTAAAGCTCACCATAAAGCAAAATGTACACACCAAAACAGAACCTACTTTTAGATTTAGAATTTCATTTCTTCTATGACTTGGTAAAATATTCCTGTCTTGGTGCTAGAGAGATGGTTCAGTGGTTTAAGGCACTGGCTGCTTTTGCAGAGGACCCAGATTCAATTCCCAGCACCAACATGATGGATAACAACTGTTTGTCTTCTGACCTCTGTGGGCATTGCACCACACGGGTGCACTTACATACATGCAGACAATACACTTATACACATAAAATAAAATAAAAAATAAATTTAAAAGTTCCTGTCTTAGACAGATATTACTTTATATATGATTAAAAACCTGTGATTAGTGTATTTTAAAATGTGTATTAGGGCTGGAGAGATGGCCCTGTAGTTAAGAGCACTTCCTGTTCTTCCAGAGAACCCAGATTCAACACCCAGTACCCACATGGTGGATAACAACCACCTGTAATTCCAGGTCCAGGGGATTTGACACCCTCTTCTGGCCTCTGTGGGCACTACAGGCATGTGGTACACTTCTATACATGCAGGTAAAACACTCATACACATAAAATAAAAATAATTAAAAAAATTAAATGTATGTTAATAGTCTACTTAAGAATTCTTCAATATATGGTACTTGCAAATGATTAAATGACATAATATGTATAAACTTTTTTTTTCTTTAGTACTGGGAATGAACCTAGGGTCTCACAAATACTAGTAGGTAAGTGCACTACCACTGAGCCATGTCTTGAGTCCTAAACCTAAGTTCTTAAGGACAGAGTATGCTGTGGCAACAGAACCTACATGTAGCAGTCTTTATCAGTAATAGCCCAGAAGACTCAGAGCACATGGAAAGTGGTACTTGAGGAATCTTAAAAAGAGAGCTGATAGGAACATTTTTGAGGGGTGGCATCACATTACTATTTCATTCTGTGGGTGTAGGCCACTATTACGCATAAAGGGAATGAAGAAAGATGGAGTCTAAGTATAATTTCTGCTGTTTTCCCAAGAAGGTTCAGAAGTTTTTTTAAAGCTTAGGAATTTTAGTGTTAGAATATTTTTAGTGTTCTCCTTTTGATGAGGTTAGGAAGTTTCTTCCTACAGTAACTCTAGACAAAAAGTTTGCTAGAATTTAGACTTGGGGATAAGTCTTGAACATAGAAATATTCCTAGAATGAGCTTAAAAACCTAAATAACAATGAATTATTTAGAATACCAATGTCTATTTTTATAGAACCTTTTTTTTAAATCTAAAAAGTATGATCAGCTGGAAATAAATGATCATCGTCTCCCAGTGGGAACACCGACATGAAGGATTGGGCCTCTGAAGACTGTACACCCTAACTTAAGGTCACCAGCATTTGTCAGGTAAGACCATAGCAATGGGTTACAAGATTCAAGGTTGATTCAAGGTTAGTTAGAAATTTAAATAATACCAAAACTTAGTTGTTTTAAGCTTCAGACTCATTTAAACCAAACCAATTTACTGGTAAAATAGTTGAAATCAATCAGTATTTAGCCTCCCCTGCTCCTGTGAGCTTACCTGCAAGATCCTTTGCAAGATTGCTGGAAGGGCAATGAACGCTGCCATGCTGTTTAGAACCTGCATGGTCAAAGATTTCAGGGCTGTTGGAACAAAATGTTAATATTGAGGTTAGTTTAAGAGTTTTTCTTGAGACAGGGTCTCCCTGTAGCCCCAGCTGGTCTGGAACTGATTATGTAGACCAGGCTGGCCTTGAACTCACAGAGATCCGCCTGCCTCTGCATCCCAAGCAAGAGTTTTTCTTTTAAGTTAGGGGAAAATAGTAGACTTACATAGATTCTTAGAGTTGACCAAGGCCAATTTGATATCTTAAAATTAATTGTTGATTAATTACAAAAACTATAAATTTTTGAGATAAATTATCTAAGGGGCACATGGCAAGAAATGGACAAGAAAAGATCAATAGTACAACAGAGTTTTATTAGGAAAATAATAAGACCATGACACTGGGAAAAGATATAATGGCAGACCCTGCAGACAGAACTGGATTGGTGGGATAGGTGGCCTAGTCAAAGTGGTTATGATGATTTACCTTCACAGTGGGGATGAGGTGCAGCTGAACTGGACAGCTTCTGTGGGGCCATCATTGCCTCCAACAATGGAAACCAGAGTGCCTATGACATCAGAGGAAACCGAAGGAAAACCAGAGGATTAGCATAGTACTTCATAAGTTGAAATACATGTGTCATGTATATTTGCTAGTAACAGTCAGACAAAGAAAAGAAGTGTGTGGCTGGGAAAAGACAATAAAAAGCAGTGACCACAGCTAGAGAAGTCATGTTTCATGGAGTCTTGGGAAACATAAGAAGATACAGAATTATCATGTTATGTATCTCTGAAAAGTGAAGGTTCAGACAGACAGAGAAAGCTTCATAGGTTCTTATCTAGTGATAAATGTGTATCACTCACAAATTCTGCATACCTTCATGTACCACAAAAGGAACACACAACCCCCATAGCTCCATTTTTATTCAATATTGTCAAGCAAGATAAATGGCTAACAGCTATCCAAAGATTTTTTCCTATATCAAGAATTTGGTTGGAGGCTGGAGAAATGGCTCCGTGGATAAGAGCACTGGCAGCTCTTCAGAAGTCCAGGGTTCAGTTCCTAGCACTGACCTACCAGTGGATGACCATGCTGCATGGTGGCTAATAGTCGTTTGTAACTCCAGTCCCAGGGGAGCTGACACCTTCTTCTGACCTCCTAGGGCACTGTATGTACCACACAGGTACACTTACATACATTCAGCCAAAACACTCATACACATAAAATAAAAATAATAAACAAAATATTTTTTTTTAAATAGGTTGTATTTCCTAAGTCATTATATATCAGGAGGCAGAGGCTGAGATGAACTAAATTCAGATTCTGGAGAGATAGCAGTTAATAGCACATACTGCTCTTGCAAAGGATCTGAGCTGGGTTCACTGTACCCATGTCAGGGGGCTCAAAACAGCCTGTAACTCCAGTTCCAGGGGATCTGTTGCCTCTGGCCTCCATGGGGCACTGCCATATTCACCGGCGTGCATGCACATGCAGACACATGCGCACACACACCCATACACAGAGTTAAAAAAAACCAATAAAAATAAATCTTCAGAAACCTACAGAGAATAAGACACTACAGATAGAGTACTCAACCCTACACACATCTATATTACACTTTTCCTCCCAGTGCTCAGGGATCGTGGAAGAAAAGGGGATGAAAAGACTGAAGACCAAGAGGTGGTGGATGACTATAATAAAATTGTTTTCCTGACATAACAGAGCAGCTGCACATATGAACACACCGTGATTATAACAGCACACACAAGAGTTGCACAAGTTCAAGTCAGACAAAATCCCACCATGGAGTGGGGAGGTGGGTAGGAAGTCCCACCTCTAGCTGAGGAGCTATTAACAATGGATGGCTGCTCAGAGAAGGAGAATCAGTTTTTTTTAATAGGGTGGCCTACCAGTGGATGACCATGCTGAAGGCTATGGACCCACACCAGAGTATTTGGGTGACACAAATTGGACTGGATGGGCATAAAGAAAAAAGAAGACACAAAGTTGGGTGGGTAGGGAGGTAGGTGTGATCTGGAAAGAGATGGGGAAGGAAGATGAATACAATCAAAACAATTGTATTAAATTCTGTTTTGATTAATAATTAATAATTAAATATTCTGGAATTATTTATTTCCTGTGATCTCTTGGATGTGATTAACCGTCTCTTTAGACTGCAGTATTCCATCCAGTGAGTATCCTCTGTAGGGCTGGCTTACTAGTCATAAATTCCTTTAATTTTATCATGGAAAGGTTTTCTTTCTCCTTTGATAACAACTGATAGTTTTGCTGGGTATAGCAGCCTTGGCTGGGACCTGTGGTCTTTAAGAATTTGGAGAACATTAGCCCAGGCCCTTCTGGCTTTCAACAACTCCACTGAAAAGTCAGGTGCTTCTTTGATGATCTGCCTTTATCTGTGATTTGGTCTGTTTTCTTACAGGTTTCCATCTTTTCTTGGTTGTATACATTTAGAGTTTTGATTATTATGTGATATGGCAATTGATTTTCTGGTCCTATTTGGTATTCTGTATACCTTTTGCACCTCCAGAGGCATTTCTTTCCTTAGATTTGGGAGGTTTCTGCTCCTTCTACACCTATGATTTGTAGGTTTGGTCTTTTTATAGTGTCCCTGTGTTCCTGCATGTTCCTTTCTTGGGTTCTTAGATTTAACAATTTCTCTGTGTGATACAATTCCACTAACTTGTCTTTAAGACTTGATATTCTCTCTTCTACTTGATCCATTCTACTGATAAGGCTTTCCACCGAGTTTTATTTCACTGACTGAGTTCCTCACTTCAAGTTTTATTTCAGTTTGGCTTTTCTTCAGAAATTGTGGTTCTTTATTAAATTCTATTTTCATGTCTTAGTTTTTTTTTCCATTCAACTGTGCTTTCATGGTCTTCATTCTGGAATTTATGCATATCCTCTTTGAGTTCTTTGACCATATGTAAATTGCTATTTTGAAATTGCTGTCTTCTAACATGCAGAGAATAAGACTTCAGAGACCTCAGTCCTAAATGGGACACCTACATTGCACCCTTCCTCCCAAGGCTCAGGAATCATTCTGGAAGAGGGGAAAGACTGTAAGAGTCAGAGGTGGTAGATGTACAAGGAAATCGTGTCTCTGGACACCACAGGGCAGTTGCACATATGAACCCACAGCACTTGTGAGAGCATGCACAAGACCCGTGTAGGTCCAAGCCAGACAAAAATCCAGCATAAATGGTAGAAGTGAGCCCCAGCCCTACTGAGGAACTATTAACAATTGATAGCTGTTGAGAGAGGAAGAGTTAACTTTCTTTAAGAGTATGACACCAGGTAAGTTGACCAAACTCCAGGGGATGGACTCACACCCAAGAGCATTTGGGGAACACAAATTAGACTGGATAGGCCTTTAGAAAAAACAATAGAAGACATGAAAGTTGGGGAAGGGGTAGAAAAGTAGGGGTAGAGATAGGGGAGAGGGTCTGAATATGATCAAAATAGTCTATAAAATTCTCAAAGAGCTCTCTCCAACCAGCAGGCTTCTCTCTCCTGGGAAAGTGGATAGAGCCCTCCAAGTCTTGACTCCCCAGCCTCACTCACCCTCCCATCTCCCCCTCCAGTCTCTCCTCCTGGCCTGGGTCCTGTCCTATTCCTTGTCTTGGCGCCCCAGACACCTGGGGAGCCATCACTGCTTCTTCCTGATCCTTTGCATCCAGAACAACTCAGTTCCTTCACAGGTCTCCAGGAGCACTGCTTCTGGGCATGGCCCCGCCCTCACCTCCTCCTGCTTCTCTGGGTCTGCATGACCCCCCAGCCTCTTTCCTGGACACCAGGGCTGACCTTTCCTCTTCCTGGTCCTTTGCATCCAGACCAACCCAGCTCCTTAGTGCAGTCCCCAGGGGCCCTTGGGGCCAGCTTCCGCCCCCATCTTCCTTTGCATCTCTGGGTGGCATGGCCAACAGCTGCCCTAGATCAGCATTTCTCCTGGGCCCAGCTCCCAGGCCAGTCCAACCCCCTAATTCCTAAGGCCAAAATCTATCCTGGAGATATCCTGACTGTAGGGGAAAGCCTGAGAGCATCTGATCCTCATCTGATTTGGGCCTCTGTGCGAACTCCTGAAGACAAAAGTAATCTGGCCACTCCAATATAAAAATCAAAAGAGAGAATAGGAACCTTAGAAGAACCGGCCTTTCATGGCCAAAAAGGAAACCATAAAGACACATAAAGTTCACAAAAAGAAGCAGACCTAAACTTGAAGGCTTGAGTCTCACACAAGAATCAGAAATTACAAAAGAAATTCACATGTCAAAAAGAAAAAATAATAACACAAAAACCAAAATAATATATCCTCACCAAGTACCAACAGTCCTCTAGAGGAGTACAATGAGAGCTCCCTAGAGATAGCACAGGACATGGAACTCAAAAGAACAATTATAAACATAATAAAAGAATTCAGTGAATTTAAAGAACACACAAAGAAGAAATCAAAGAACTGAAGGAAAATAAGGATAAACTTCTGAATGAATTCAGGAAAGAGAAATATTGGAGAATACTTGGGCATACAGGAAGGAGAAGAATCCCAAGACAATGGCAGGGACCAGATCTTCAACAGAAGATCTTGTGGAAGAAAATTTCCCAAACTTAAAGAAAGACATGCCCATACAAATACAAGAAGCATATAAAACACCAAAAGACAGGACCAGAAAAGAACCTCTCCATGGAACAACATAGTAAAAACACTAAACATACAAAATAAAGAGACAATACTGAAAGCTGCAAGAGAGAAACAACAAGTCATAAATAAAGGAAAACCAATTAGGATCACAGCTGACTTTTCAATGCAAACTATGAAAGCCAGAAGAGCCTGGACCAAAGTATTCCCAGTGCTAGATAATTATAGATGCCAACCCAGATTACTTTACCTAGCAAAACTATCTTAGTTGAAGGGGAACAGAAAAATCTTCCCTGACA